GTTGCTGTCACACAGAGCAGAGCTCAGCACTGCCCCTCTGCTCCCTGTGAGGAGCTGCAGCTGCCATCTGGCCGCCCTTCAGCTTCTCTGCTCTGGCCTGAACAAACCACAAGATCTCAGCTGCTCTTCATACATCTTACCCTCTAGATACTTCCTCATCTTCACAGTCCTCCTTTGGATGCTCTCTAATAATTCCTTGTCCTTCTCAAAATTATAGCCCCCACAGCTGAGTTTAATTGCCCAGCCTGTGTGAACATCTGTATGTGAGATGACAGCTCGACCTTCAGGAAGTAGAAATGCCAGCAGTGAACAAAGAGGGAGAAGTCTGGTCTGCTTCAGGAGTAGGGTTCCCAGATGTGCCCAGTGTTGAGCTCCCAATGAAAGCCGTCACAGGATTGCAAAACCTACACAAGCTGGCACCAGCAGTTGGCTGTAGCTGATCTTCAGCCCTGAGGAGCGATGAATTTGATCAGATCTGGCTCTGAGCCTTGGGTATCAGCACAGAGGCAGTTCAGGAGTGATGGAGCTTTGCTTCCTCCTGTGGAAATGTAATACAAAAAGTGGCTTTTGGATGCATCTCAGAATGTGTGTGTCAGAGTCTTGTTTTGCAAAAGCAATGTATTGGCATTAAATTCTGCCTTAGGGAGCAGCTGTCCTCAGGCACTGTGGGACCCTAAGAGAGTGGCAGGAACCTGAGCTGTTCAGTCGTATAGGACTCAGGGTGATGGGGAAGGCTGATGGTCTGATTTTTCTGCTCTCCTAGCAGTACTCTCCACTCTTGCTTTTTTTTCCACTTATTCACCAAAGTTTGTAGAAGAATTTGCAGCAATATTTATTTTCACCCATCATCCTTGTCAGCTTGTGGTGGTAGAAGAGCTTTGCAGGAGCAGCCTGGGGATTGCACCAGCCTTGGACAGGTGGAGGATGTGCATCCAGCATGGTGCCACTGCTCCTGGCATGGGGATTGCAGCAATGTGTGGAGTGTGAGGGCATCTTGTGCTGCAGGAAAGGGGTGGGTAAATCAGAGCAGTCTCTTTTGGTCCTCAAAAGCTGGGAATTGTCCCTAAATGTAGAGCTGTGCCTTCAGCTGAGGAGCCATGTCTAACTTTCCTAGGTGGATCTTGACACCAGCTCATTGTTGTGTATTTTTTAGAGCAATTTCACTATCACCATGGCTCTTTTTGAGTACTGTAAATAAAATACATCTTAAGTGACCATCATTTCACCATGGTGATGTCCAAGTTGGCAGCCAGCTGCATGGTTTAGGTTACTTGCTGATAATTTGCTGTTACTGAAAGACAGACAACAGGAGAGCATAGGAAGATAAGACAGAACTGCTGGTCTCTTGCCATCCCAGGTGTTTTGTGTAGTTTTATGGAGGTAGGAGATACAAGAGCATTTGCTTTATCTTACAATGTATTTTGTAGTTTTTTATCCTATTATGGCATCTCTCCTCTACATTCCTGTAAGCAGAAAGCTTTTGGAAGAGACTGCCCTGGGTGCCACAAGTGAAGATGTGAGGCAGAAAGGCTGAGGTTCAAGGGGAGTGTGGTAGGAGCACCAAGACAGGAGACAAAGATGTGGTTTGGAGATGGCTTGCAGTGAGACTGCATTCAAGTGGGAAGCCTGGGCTTAATGGTGTAAGCTGGAGTGTATTTGGAGATGCCTGAGGTGCTGACAGCATGGAGATAGAGCAGCTGAAGCTAAATGCAAGACATCTGTGCAGAGCAGCCCTTTGAGCAAGTCTTCTTGCAGGATCAGAAATCTAGAGAGCGGTTTGGGGCAGCATGATTTGAGAAGGCTTTGGATGCCTGCACCAATGGGTGATGGGAGGACGCCAGAAGATGGGGGCAGATAAGAGTAAAGGCAAATGCTGACCGAAATGAGCATCTGAAGGGCAGGGTGAGCCACAGCCATCAGGGTGTGTGTTTATCTTTGCAGCTGTGATTATTTTCAGATCACAGTTCAAGGGAGTAAAACGTCAGTGCCTGCTATTAATAGCATTGCTGGCAGCGAGGCTCTTTCTTATTGCTGACAGGTGAGAGGAAGATAATTTTGTTTCATCCTGGGTATGAAAAAGTACAAAAATGAGATGGGCTCTGATTCAATCCCCTCAGTCCTGGAAAGATTAGAAGGAGATCTCCTGTAGTCCTTAAGAATGAGGATATGGCTTGTTTTCCCTGGGCAATTCCCTCCTTATCCAGATGTGCTGTGCATGTATTGCTGGAGGAGGAATTAGGTACGGAGCTGCAGCTGGCCAGGATCAGTGAGGAACAGTGAACCCAGGCAAAAAGCAACCTAAAGAATTTCTATTTCTTCTCAGAAAAAGTGCTGAGGCATTGGAACAGGCTGCCCAGGAAGGTGGTGGAGTCACTGTACTGGGAGGTGTTCAATAAAAGAGATAGATGTGGCTCTGAGGGACGTGGTTGGAGGGCATAGCAGGGATGGGTCGATGATTGGACTAGACAATCTTGGTGGTCTTTTCAACCTTAACGATTCTATGATCTAATTTCTCTGAGATATGAGGGATTTGCTCAGAGGAGAGAAACACCAACCTGAGACCAGCAGTATGCATGGGGATCCCCAGAACGACTTTATGCAAAATCCCTGTTTGCAAGAAGCACTGCTCCCCAAGGAAGGGATTAAATCATCCCCAAAGTGGATCAGACACTGCTGGGCTCTCAGCTTTGGGACCCAGGCATTTTTGTGCAGGCTGGTGGCAGTCCACAGCATAGACACTGAGCAATGAAAGTACTGGGACTGATCATGTCGGTGCGAATGGGAGCCAAATACAACTTGCATTGTTTGAGCGGATGTGTCCTGTCTGGTGCTAATTATAAGTGTTTTATGCACAACACACAGCAGTAGAAGTGCCAGATAGTATTTCTTTTTGTGTTGGACTTGAAATCATTATAATTAAGCTTTAAAGTTGTAAGTTAAAACTAACAAGATGTGTGTGTTTGCCTTGGTTCTACTTACGGTGGAGCTAGTGTTTGGTGTGGAGCTGGGCATGTCAGAGAAGTGTGAAGAGCTCCTGTGCTCTGCCCTGGCAGCCATGATTAGCTTTGTTTTTAAAATAGACAGAAAACCTAAAAATTTGGGAAATGTGTCATTTTATAAATTTTGGAAGTGTTTTGTTGAATAAGCTTTGCTGGCTGATTGGGCGCATGAGCTGTCTGTTAAGAAAGAAAAAGCACTAATGTATGGAGGGAGCAATGGAGGTGGAAGTGCAGATGAGTGTCTTGTTTTGGGGAAGATGAGCTAAGCATCTGAACAGTCACCCCCAGGAGCAGCTGCTGTGCATGGCGCTGGGCAGCAGGGATGGGCTGCTATATGGCACTTTTTTGGGCCGTACCAAGTGGGATGCATCTGTGAGAGTCATTCTTGCCATCTCTGCTCCTCAAATGCAGGGAAAACCCTAAAACTCTGTTTTTGGGCTATCCCACTGGAGTTGAAATTGGTGACAGCGTGCATAGGAATGATGAGCAACACGTTACTCAGTTCAGTGGTCCAGCCAGTGTGCTGGAGGGGCATAGGATGAGTGATAGAGGGCTGAAGGTATTGTCAGGTAGTGCACAGTCACCACATGATGTGCATTTGTAAAAATAATGCTGAAGAGCAAAGAGCCATGAGCTAGTGGAGGCATTTGATTTGTGTGCAGAGGGAAAGCAGCTGCTGGTCCTTAGCACTCCTGGGTCTCGTCTAGGGTCTTGTCTGTTTAAATTACAGTGTGAGATTTGGGCAGATGCAGGGGGATGAGCGGCGTTGTCACAGTGGTGGCAGAGAGAAGATGTTTTAACTGCTTGTGATAAGTGGGTCAAGATGGGTCCCAGTGTGTTAAAAAATTAGCTGTTGACCTACATAGCAATAGTGTGATGATGGCTGACAGCAGGAGCAAAAGCAAGTGTTACTGCTGGAACTGTGCATGGCTGAGTGCAGCGGTGAGGCTTGGAGCTTACTTATCCTGGGTGTTCTGTTTCTGCCCCACTGCTCCTTGGCTGTTGAGCCATGGATTGTAGCCATCTCCTGATGGGGTACCTGAGTCCCAAAGTCACAGCATGCTGAGATCTCCTCTGATCATTCTTCTCCATGTAAGGCCACATTCATCCTGTGCAGCAGAACTCCCCATTTTCCATATGTCCACATTTGTCATAGAATCCCTCATTAGCTGATGTAATTGAGTAATGGCTTTCTTGGCTGTTAATTAAGCAGCATCCAAGCTGGAATCACTTTTGCCCTGTGATGAAAGCATTAATCTTCTCAGGTCAATTAAAGACACTTTGTTACATGTTATCGCATCACATGTTATGTGATGATCTACTTCAGTGATGACCCAAGTAATTCATTCATTTAACTTTGTTTTTCTTAAGCTGTCTTGCTAGTGGAGCCAAATGATGCTGCAATGCTCTGGAGCTGCAGTAGTTTTTAATTTCGTTGGCTTTTGTGTTGATTGGCCAGCATGAGCAGCTGGTTGGGATGGGTACCAATGTCCCTTGGTGAGGTTCATGCTTCACGAGTCATTTTGCTGAAAGCCAAGCAAACACATGGCTTCCTGTGCTGTGGCTGGATCTAGGTGTCTGCAGCAAGCAACCAAGTGTCTGTCCAACTGGGGGCTAAGACTCAATGTGGTGAAAATGTTGGTATGACAGGAGAGCACCACTGCATGCAAGTTGGGATTTGCCCATCGTGTACCATCTCAGCTGAGGATCACCCATAGCTATTGTGTGCCAAGGGCTGAATGTAGCAGAGACCAATGCAGAGCCACCCAGAATAGGGTGCCCAGGTCCATCTCCAAAAGTGGCTTTTGTAGATCTCTATGGAGGCATATTCCATGCTTTATAATTGTTGGTATCTACATTTTGTTTTTTAGGAACTTTATGTATATATTCCTCTGGAAGTGAACACTTCCTGGCATTGCCAAGGGGAAAAGCAATCTGGGTCTGTGTTTTCAGAGCACTTTTGCCCCTAGGCAGCTACATGTGGTGCTTTGTCTCCCACAGGCTCCTGCTTCTGGGTGGCTGTCCTGGATGGCAACGTGGTGGGGATTGTGGCAGCGCGGGGCAATGAGGAGGACAACACAGTGGAGCTGCGCCGCATGTCTGTCGACTCCAACTACCGTGGCAAGGGGATTGCCAAGGCCCTGGGCCGCAAGGTGCTGGAGTTTGCCATGCTCAACAACTACTCCTCCGTCGTACTGGGGACCACAGCTGTGAAGATGGCGGCCCACAAGCTCTACGAGTCCTTGGGCTTCAAGCACGTGGGTGTGGTTGAACATTACGCGCTCCCGGGGATGACGCACTCCTTGCTGGAGAGAATGTTCTTCCAGCTTCGCTACCACCGCTACCGCCTGCAGCTCCGTGAAGAATAAAACCCAACCACCAAGCAAAAAAGCTATTTTTCTCCTCCCCCCCTCCCAAAAAAAGAAAAATAATAATAAATTACCCTTCTCTTTCTTGTCACCATTTATTTGCCAATTTTGTCTCCCTTCTTGCTCCCTCATCTCATCCTGGCTTGCTCCGTGCAGCCTGGTGGCCCAGCCTTGTGCGCTGGATGTGGTGGGGCTGGAAATCAGCATCCTGCAGCCCAGCCTCCTAGGGACCGACAGAAAGCACAGAACCTTCCCCGCAACGTCACACCGCCACTCTGGTGCGCCCAGTGTTCTTTTTTTCCAAGTGTAAGATAACATAGCGATGCATTCATCATAGTGCAGAGAAAATCACTTGAATGCAGTTTCCAGTATTTAACGTACCAGTAAGTACAGAATATGCATCCATCTTGTCTTTATTTACTGGTAAATCGTTTCCAAGGAAAATGTGGGGGCAGCCCCCAGCCCAACCCGCTTGCTGCAATGCATGAAGAGGAAGTGTGTGCACGCACTCCAACACATCGCACTGCCACCGCGCCACTGATGCTGCACTTTTTTTGGATGTGCCTCATCCTGCCAAATGTCTGAGAGCCCCTTGGCGTGTCGGAACCACCACAGCTCCATCCTCATCTCCTTCCTAAACCAGCAACCAGACTCGATCCGTCCGAACTCTGAGCCCCGATGTAACATAGCCGAAGTGAAGATCAGCCCCATCTATCTCCTGCGCTACCGTCGCCATGTGTGACCTGCAGTCCTGGGCCAGGCTCCGCATGTGACTTTCTCTTTGCTGCCTTTTGGGGTGGGTGTTCTTTTTGTTTGTTTGTTTGGTTTGATTTTATTATTTTTAATTTTTGTTGTTGTTCATTTTTAGTTCTGGCTTTTGCTGAATGGTGTCATTGAGGCATAATGGAGGCTGCAGTTCCTATGGTAACACATTTGCACATTAATGTGCGCACCAACTCCGAGCACTTCAGAGGAGCAATGTGACAGATAATAGCATTTTGGGGAGCTCTGGGGGGTGGGGGGCACGTACTTATTATCTTAACCAGCTGCTTGTTTGATCCATGTAGATGGCCTCACTGCAGCCTGCCATAAAAGGTAATTAACCGCTTTAATGATGTCAGATTTGTGAATTGTACAATGCAAAAAGCAATGCAAAGCAGATCCGGCATGTGTCTGTACCCAGTATGTATGTACAGTGCCTGCCAACTAAGAGTAACCAAGGCTACAGCTTCTCCTAGCCTGAAATATCAACTTTTATAACTTATTTAAACAAATAGCAACTTTGCATGAATTACGTCTTGGGGGGAGGGGAAAAAAAGAAGTTGAGTAGATTTTACTTTTCAAATGTGGCATCAGAAATATAAAGAGAAACACTTCTGGCTGCACTTAATTTGGGGTGGGTGGAGGGGTTTCAGCTATGTTAATACATTCAAAAGGAAAAGCCCTTTCACTTAGTTCCTGGAGGGGAAGAAGTAGTTACTATTTCACAAAGTATGAGTGTGGGGGGGGGGGGGGGGGGGGGGAGAAGCACCCGATCAACTCGGAGAGAGGATAGGGGACGTATCAACAGCTCTGAAAGCATCTCTGTGCATGGGAGGGGCAGTGGGAGGGTGGTGCGGGGTCCCATCCCTGGGCAGGACAGCACCAGGGCGGCCCCTTCTCCATATGTGGTGCCAGCAATAAGGGGGGAAGGGGCGGAGGAGGGGTGCTGTAGCGTGAGGTTAATTAACACCATTTCTGTACGGGGCACTCTATTTTTAAGTCTTACTATGCTGTACATTTCTCCTGAAGCTGAAATAATGTACTGTTGGTTGGGGGGGTTTTGTATAGTGTACAGAAATGGGCAGAATATTTTCTTGCTGCTTTCAGTGATTTATTAACCTAAGGAAAATAGACAACTATGAAGTGTTAGTGAAAGGGAAAGGAAAAAATAACTCCACAAAACAGTTTGTGCCTTTTTTAGTTTATTTTTCTGTTGCTATATAATCACTGCACTAAAATCTTTCCAGAGGGGAAAAAAAACAAACAACACACAACTAGTCTCTTAATAAGGGAGGAATACATAAAGCCTAAACTGAGCATTAGTTGTTTTTTGTTTTTTTTTTTTTTTAATTGGAGTATTTAATTGAAAGAATGTTGCTGGTCTTATTTCATACCTGTGCCTTTGTAATGAAGCCACCACATCATCCTATCAGAAAAGCCAAACCTGGAATCAATTGCACCAGATCCCACAGACACAGAAGTACTGTCAGCCTACTGGGATTGCTTTTTAAGTTGAGCAAACTGAAGCTGGTGATGGCAGAACCTGCTGGTAATACGTGCTGGGGATGTGCTGAATCTTTGCCACTTGGCCACCAGTTGGCTAGCGAAGTTCGTCCCGTAACGCTCTCATGCATTGTTCTGTGACCTGTGGCTTTTGGGAAGAAATCCATCCCCTGCTCCCAGTGCCATCCATCTGAGGCAGCTGGTTCTGGGAGGGAGAGGCTGGTTGTCAAGCATGCTGCTTTGTGCTTGCCAAAGAAGATGGACGGGGCTCACGGGTGCAGCACTGCTGGTGCTGCCCTGGCTGGGCTGTTTTTCACTGGACAGCCCTTAGGTGCCAGTGTGACATCCAGGGTGCTGCAGTAGGGAGGAATGACCCCAGTTTAGATGCCGACCTGGCTGATCCATCATATGCTGTGCCCCACTCAGGGTGCACCCATTCAAATGGTGCCATGTGGAGGAGAAGTCGGAGCCTGCAGCTCTCTGCATGCGCCCCCAGAAGCGGCCCTGTAGCCCCAGTAGTGAGCTCCTTGCTCCTCCTGCATGATGCAGTCCTGCAGCAGGACCAGCTCTGTGTTCTTTTCCCTGGCTCAGGCATCATTTTGCTGCTCCCAGTTCAGCATCAGGCATGGAGCAACACAGAGTGGTTCTGGGCTAGAAGATCTGGACCAACTGCCTGGACTCCTTGAAAACCTAATTGTCATCTAATCCCAACAGCGACTCTCAGCAGTTTGCTCCTGATCAATGGTGGTTTCTGCCCAAGTGCGTCTATAGCTAGAGCAGAGGAAGAGCAGTACATCCCTTGTAAAGCTTGGCTTGGAGTTTAGCCTTGCTTGGTGAATATGAAAGCTACTGAAAGCTCTTGAAACCACTTCAGGGCCAGGCAGAGCAGCTGGATAACTGCAGGGATGTCTTCCAGCTGTGCTAGGCACACCTGCACTTTGCTGTTCCATGGGTTGCATCTGCTGCCCTTGCATTACATAGTGATGCTGTCATCCCTTTAGCACCATGGCTGTTCTGCTCATCCTCCCAGTGGGGCTCTGCTCATGTGTCCTCAGCTCGAAGCCAGAGATCACCTGGGAGAGCAACTAGGGGTGGTGCAGAAGACACTTTCTTAAAAGGTAGTAGGAAATTTTATGATGTAGTGGCTCAGGAATTGCCCTAAGAGATGAGTTCCCTTGGAGATGAGCGAGGACACCCTGCACATCTCGAGCAAACAGCGTTCCAAGCACACATCATTTTTGGCAATAAGGTGTATGGGGAGCTCAGCCCCTGGATGCAGACAGGCCAGCAATGAAGAATGTGGTTTCCATTTTTACTTGCAATCCCTGCGCTGCTGTTTGTTGTCATCCCATGCCACGTCCTCCCTTGAGTGAAGGCGGCAGCACTTGGGAGATGCTCAAATCTGTGCAGTGCTCCTGGCTGCAGGGACATCGCTGCTTCTCCCTTGTGCTGCTGTCACTGCACCCATGGTCAAGGCAGCACCAAAGAAGTCAGTGGGAGTCCCAGGGTGAGATTCCCAAGGAAACTGGGATTTTAAGAATCCCAGTCAGGAGCATCCACTGCACACTGAGTTTTTTTGATTCTTCATGCAAGGCTGCTGCTGCCTTTGAATTTGGCACATTTCCTGGCTGAGGTGCAAATGGATGGAGAGTGACTGCAGGGATCCCTGAGCTGCCAAATACACGAGGGTAGGAACCAGCTCTGGTTACTTCTGAATTAACAATCTAATTTTAAATTTGCTGGGAGCCTGCGTTTCATTAGCGCTGGTATAATGCTGTTGGTATGCTCTCTATTTAAAGCTTAATAAAGGCATTTTAATTCCAAGCTAACCGGAGTCTGCGGTGGAATGCACTGTACCGCATAGAGAAAATGAATGGATGCAAGCTATTAAATAAGCTTTAACATGCAAAAGGATCTTTTTTTTCCTTTTTTTTTTTCTCCCTGAAAAAATCCTGAGCAAAAGTGTGCTCTTGCACTCCTCAGTAACAGAGACTATGCACAGAAATTAGTTATCTCCCATTGAAAAGCTGCTGCCTGCAATCTCCTTGTGAGTACTTTTCATTCAGAATGAAAGGAGCCAGAGAATCCTTTCACCAAGATGGTTAGAACACAGTGTGGCTAAAGGCAGGACCTGTAAGGCAGCTTAAGGAAGGGGACAGACACTTTAGTAGGGTCTGCTACTATAGGACAAGGGGAAATGTTTTCAAACTGGAAAGGGGAGATTTAGATTGGATATAAGGAAGAAGTTTTTAACAATAGTGGGAGTGAGGCACTGGAACAGGTTGCCCCATGTGGGAAAGCCCCATCCCTGCAGACACTCAAGGTCAGGCTGGAGGGGCTCTGAGCATCTGATGGAGCTGTAGGTGTCCCTGTTCATTGCAGGGAGGTTGGACTAGGTGGCCTTTATGGGTCCCTTCCAACTCAAATGATTTTATGAGGCTATGAATTGGAGGTGCTGTTCATTGTATGATAGCCAGCTAGAGGAGAGAGCATGCTTTTAACATCAGAGTAGCTGGAGATGGACTTATTGAGACCAAGAGCATAGAAAATACCTAATGCAATTGTAAATCCATTTACAAATAACACGTTTGGATGCAGAAGCAGCTACTGCTATGTAAGCATAACGAGCATATAGCTAACATAGTTTTCAGTTTCTTTGCCTTCAAAGCTTAGTCTTTTGACTTGTAATATGTATATTTGCTTTTTTTTAATTAATAAAAAACTATTATTAGGTTTCACAAAGCACCCTTTGCTTTGTGAGGTGTGCTTACAATTGTGCTGGGCCGTTAGCTTTAAGCCGTTTGTGTGCTTGTGTTATTTTATCAAAGCAAAAGTCTTCTTGAGACAAATGCAGTAAAGGTTTCAAAAATAATAATGATTATTATTAATTTTTTTTTTTATAATGTTAAGCAGATGTGTGGTATGCATTTGGAAAATGTCCAGTGTCAGTTGGGGCTCCATGGCTCTATGTGCCCATGGTGGTGGTGTTGGTTTGCGGGGCTGCCTCTGCACCTCCCCTCTTTTGTACGAGACCGATGTGAAATTAGTCTTGTGTTCTCTATGTCCAGCCTCGTACGTACTGTATTTGTAACAGGAAGTGGCTACAAGTCCTCAAAGAAATACGAACCTATTTTAAAACAGCAATAATTACACTGTAGAGCAGGTGGGGGCGAGCAGGTCAGGCTCTGCAGGGCCGTGGGGCCTTGTGGCTGATCTGTGAGTTGCAGGGTCTACACGTACAGGATCGGGCCTCAAATGGGTGGCACCACGAGGCCTCGTGTGGGGTGGTTGAGTGGAAAGCTATTGGAAATGCCATTTGTGGTGAGAGAGAGGGAGCCTGTGGGCAGGCAGGTGGCAAACCCAGCACTGCCTCGCAGAGGAGGGCCAATGTCTCATAGCCCAGCGTGCTCTGCTCTGCCCTATGGCAGAACACAGGAGGAAGGAGTGCGTGGGAGTCCGTGTGTCCACATGTCCATGTGTCCACACGTCTGTGTGTCTGTGGCAGGGTGGAGCGGGGAGAGCGAGGCGTAGGCACTCGTGTTGTGTTCCCGATGGCCGCTGTAACTGTGAAAATTAACCAGACCTGCTGTGATAAATTTGGTTATATAAGGTTTATTTGGTTAATTTTTTATAAGTGAAAACTGAAAAGATGAAAGAGAATTGTAATATGAAAGCAACTGCTGTAAATAATGTATGAATGAATAAAATCTAAAACTTATGTCAGTTTTTTCCTAAACTGTATTGCTGTCGAGTTACTGACTGCTGCAGAAACAACCTGTGTTGTTCCCAGCTCCGAGCCCAGCGCGGGCACACACCACTTGTTCCTGTTTCCACTGATAAATAGGACTGTTCCTATGTGTGTGTCACGTCCTTGGATTCTATTTCCGCACTGTCCCAGCTCACTGACTAATGCTGTCAGAAGTGTCAGTGTTCTTGGAGCTGCACGGAGTCAGTCCGCACGCCTGCAGACTGCTGGTGCTGCCGCTGTCAGGAAGTTCCCCTCGAGGGCTGCACAGCCCGAATCCCAGCCAGGATGAGCAGCCAGAGATGGTCCTTATCCTGGAAAATGTCTCGTCTGAGCGAAG